CAAAACATCATAAATAACTATATCATTACCATAGAATTCCACTATTATTTATCAAGCTTAGCAACTAAGCTGTATTTGAGTCTAAAAAAAGATGAAATTTCAAGCAGACTAAAAACTCAACCTACCCCCTTAAAGTCTTGTTTCAAAAGAACAAGATGACTTCGATATACTTGAAAATGGCTGAGAAAGCCACTAGGGGGACATTCTGAGCTTTAGATTGGTTATTCACATGTCAAAGACAGAAGTAAGTGTATATAAGGAAGCATTTCCAAATATGGAAAGAGGTGAGTGGTGCCACTGTGTTTGATCCAATACATGAGCAATATCTCGGCAACTAGAAAAGACAGGAAGTTATCATTTTATATTCTAGCTTGTCAATAATGGTAAATTTAGTTCCTAATTTGTACGAAACTATAGACTTTATTTTCACATCACAAACACCTAATTTGAACCAGTTCTGCATTCAACATACCACGTGACACACAAAAATCAATGTTTAGTGTGCTTTTTTAATATTGACTTTTAAATTAAGAAATTAACTAGTGTATAATACTAAAATTTGAATTATAATCTACAATTTGATACCAAATTTATAAACATGAATTCATAAAATAGTCATTCAATTAAATTTTGAATGCAAGTCAACAAACGTGATGACCTGGCCTTTGACCTGTGACCATAGGAAGACCCATCTCGGTAAGGTTAAATAGATATCCATGCAATCCCTTTTCATCATCAGTGAGAATTCATCAAACACCTTCCAGGTGCCTACTCCTAGTGGATGTACTTTGAAAATAGAAAAACCTGCCTTGTCATACTTACTCTTAGTGAGCATTACTGAAAAATGTAAAACCTGCCTTATAGTGCCTACCATTAGTGGGTGTGACATCAAATGTTTTGATAAATATCATTCTCTATTGAGCTATTCAGTACAGACAAGATTATGCCTAAAGATAAAACAGATAAGTGTTATATGATAACAAATATATAATGTTAAATGTGTTTTCCCTGTTGAGTTCTTAAAATTCGGAAGAAGTGTTCATAACAAAACAAAATGTCATGGTAAGTGCTTTAATCAAGACAATACCATGGCAGATGCCTGGTATGTTCTGAAAGTATTTTACCACATAAAGACACGCTTGATACATGAGGGGGGTACAAAGCAACTATCCTTGTCAAGGTAAAAAGTAAAAAAACATTAGGTTTTTGTACAGAGTAGTTATTCTGAAATCATAAAATTAGAGGCAGCTTCCCAAGTTAAACCTTTAAGCAGCAGATTTGACACATTTTGCTTGTACAATATTCAATTTTCCCTGTAAGTTAAAGTGAAAATGAAATTTTGTATTGTTTTAACTGTGGCAAAATACAATTTTACTTTCAAATATTGGGATTTTTTTATTCTTCAAATAATGTAAAATTAACTCATCTTTTCTGTTTACTCTCTACAAAGTTGAAAGAAAATGTGTCAAACTATTGTAAATTTAAAATAATAAGCTTAACTGTCCCCTCCAGTACTAAAACATGCAATGATCCAAAATGAAACTACTCATGCTTTGACAAAGTGCATTTTGAACCACGTTTAATTAAAACTATTGAAACTAATAAAATATAAAAGCTACTAGCAAGAGAATGAGCAATCTTTTTTACTAGATAATTTGTTTGTGAAAGAAGGGGGGCTCTCTAGAGAATCCTTCAAATATATACGGATAGATAGGCCTACATATTTAAAACTATAATACAAACTTTTGCATATTTGACATTCACCTTTATTTGTTAGAGCAAGACACAAAAGTCATTTGTAACTGAAATTTCAAATTAAGCAATGTGAGGTGATTGTATATCATTAAATATATATTAGTCGTTTATCAGGACTTTTGGTATAATGTATTAATCTATAATATTATTCATAGGAAATATTAAGAAATTAAAGGAAAAACAGTTCAGAATTTCTTTCTAAAGATGCATATTTTTTGCTGTTGTACTTGACATTTTTCATTAAAAGCCATAGTATTTCTGATGGCTTTGTCACATGCTGTCAGTAATTTATAGGAATGTTTTGTTTTTAGGTGAAACATATTAATTGTTCCTGTATTTTATTTTTTTCATAGGTCAAATCTTTCCCCCTGATATAAATGTAATTTCACTCACAGGTGACATCAAATTGCAATTGCTAATCATAATAAACATTTTAATTTTTTTTTACTCTTCAATATGGTTAGTTTATAATAGAGTTTTATGAATTGTAGCAGCATGTTTCTGTAAATCTTGTTTCATGTGACATGAGCTTTGTAGATTCTATTTGGTAGTTTAACTCAGTGTTATTAATTCTTTTATTTGTATTAACAGTGAACTAGAAGAAACCTTACTTGTGTTACCCTTCCACTATGTCTCAGCTTTGGTTAAAGTCTTGAAGATTTTTTTGGACTTGGGATGGGATGTGGAACTCTCGTGCAGGGTTCTTTTTTTCCTACTCAGGTTTGTTGGGTTTTTTTTCAAACTCTTTCATCTCCTTTAGCTTAGAAATGTTTTAATTTCAGATTATTAAAAACAACTTTACTATAAAATTTTAATCACAAATATTAATCAAGGTTTATAAGGAATCTTAAAAAAAACTTTGAATTTCAACCTTGTATATGAACACCTTGAAAAGCTTTTGAATTTATGGTTTGTATAAAAGTATTGAATTTAAAGCATGCTATTGAACTGCTAAACAAAAATTGTTTATTTGAACTTTTTGTATTCCATGATGGTTTGGTTATTAACTATATATATAGTATGCATGTGTATAAATAGGACTAGCCATTTTCTGCTGTATTCATTCAATTTATTTTCTCCAAACAGAATCCATTGTAGCCAGATTACAGCCAATCATTCTCTACTTCCTGTGATTGACCAACTCCGAAGATTAACCTTGGAAAGGGTTAACAAAGAAAGAGTAAGTATAGGGGCTTTTCAGTTATTGATATCCATATAACTGGTATGTTAATCATAACATTGATTAATTACATTTGTCTATTATTATTATCTAAATCAGCTAATTATTAATAAGATTAATTTTGAACTTTTTATGATTGAAATTTGAAAGTTGATGCACCAAAAATCATTTTCAGTTTGCTTTTTGCTTGTGTTTCACATGCCATTCTCCTATAAATCACAGAAAATCTCTATACTTTCTAAAAATAGGCATCATTTCTATGCATTACTGGGTAATTAATGAACAAAATCCCTATAAACTCGATTTTGCCCCTGAAGAAGAAAGATCCACATTTCAAAAGTGCTCGTGTTTTTATTCATTTCTATCAAAACTTCTTGAACCTACATGTTTTTCTAATGTCATGAATGTCTAGAACATTATATAATTTTTACAATTTTCTGGCGTACAGTTTACCTTACCACTAACAATTAACAATCACAATACAGTGCAACTACATGTTATATGTCAGTATTAGAAAAAGGACATGAATAATAAGTGATAATCTGCTAAAGGTGAAGAAACAAAAACCTACAACTTTAAGGACATTACTTGCTTTTAAAGAAACTCGTATGATAGTGTTGATAAGACTGAAAAATGTTATTTTGTTTTGTAATTATTATGCTAGTATTTCATGTCAGCTCAAAAACCTCTAATCCTGGAGCTAGGTAAAGTTTACAGAATAGTGTAAGTGGGTTGTCATTTCTTTTATTCCGTTTTAAGTCCCCTCAAAGATACAGTAAATGGATACAGGGTCTGTACATCGTGAACATAATATTTCACAACTAAAAATTTCCCTTGCCATGAATAGAAGAAAAATTTAATTTTGGTATTTACGTAAAATATATTAAAGGTATGTAATAAAATTATACAATAAAACAGTCATATACTTCCACAAAAAATTTATTTTGTGCACTGTAATATAAGTTAAGCTAGTTTTTAGAAACGTTTACTCTTTCTCATCTAACTTACTTGCTGTAGTATGTTGCAGATCACAGTATAAAGAGATTATAATTTATGTTGTATGGAAAAATACTTATTTTAAGTTTTCATATGTTAATGAACATAAATGTTGTATTTCTTATTCATTATTTGAATTTCAGTTAACTTTAAGGTTTATTACATTTTTTCATCTTGCTTTTCCATGGCTTGTAATATTTTAAGTTATACAATGGTTTTTCCACGAATGGTATTACTTCTTCGTTAACATAGAATATTTAACTCAGAAGAGTGTGGTACAATTATAAAAAGGGAGAGTATTCTGACAAGTGGAGAGTTTTAGAGTCCATGTGTAAAATCTCTCAATTTTTGCATTGAGAGCTTGGGCCTTGGATTATAATTAAATAATAAACATTTCAAATATAAATAATTTGGTTATTTTAAGTTTAATAAAAAAGTTTTGTGGTGTTGAATCTGAATTCTCTAACTGACTGAGTTGTGAAAAAGAAAGAGACTAGACACGATGCAGAAAACAGTGAAAACAATCATTACTTTAAGGTATCATCTGGCCTGCCAGTAATAAAGTCGACTTTCACACCTAATATGTCCAACTTTACAGAAATCTTTACCACCTTATGGCATACATGATTCCATAAGTGAATGATCCAGAACATTAGATAACTAGGGCCAAAGCAACTTAGCTACTTCCTTAACCAACATTCTATGACAGGGTAGAAGACACCTAGAATGCCAGAATACCACACAACTAAGTTATTCATTTCCAAAATGAGAAAAATAATATATTTATGAAAATTAAAACCAACTAGAGTAATATTATTAATAATCAAGATTTGTTTTAGATGAAAGAAGTCAGACAGTTAGCCATCTTGCAGCCTTGGTCAACTTATTTTTGTGGTAAATGTCATCACAAGCAACTAATAGTTGGGATTATTACTAGTAATAAAGTTAGAGTGCTCGACTCACGATCTGAGGTTCACATGTTCAAATCTCGTTTATTGAAATAGAACATGCTCGCTCTTTCAGCTGTGGGGAGGTGTTATAATGTGACAGTTAATCCCACTATTCATTGGTAAAAGAGCAGCCTAAGAATTACTTCTAACCTTGAAATGATTCACCTTACTTCATAAATATTTAGGTTATAAGCTAAAAGTAAAGCTTGAATAAGTGTATCAATTTGTTTAATAATGCATTTGTATAGCTTTTCTCAATTCTTCAGAGTAGTCAGACAAAAATTTTATAAATATAAATTAATAAACCTTAAAATTCAAACATACCGAATAAATATTAGGTACTGAAACTTACAAGGAAACACTTTCTAATAGTAATCTTGATCTCTTCAAGAGAGATTATTTTATTAATGTTATTAATATTGGTGATTTTTGAAGGCTTGGTATTGCTTTGTCAGTACACATTGTAAGTTGTAAGTAGTAGAATTGTATGTATTCAAGAGTGAACCTTGATGCTTATTTGACATATTAAAGAGAGGAAAATTGCTTTTGTTGTAAAACATAAATATCTTTTTGTATAATTATTTTGGATTAGAAAGTCAGAGTTTCATACGGAGTATTTTTTTACAGGATACAGTTGGTTTTAATTTAGCAGGATTACAGTTTCTGCACAGAGAATTTAACTCGCGTGAGGAAGTTACCTTATTTGCTGATGCCACGCAGAGATTGCGGGAAAGGAAGAAAAGGCTGAAGAAGAAAGAACGTGCTTTACTTGTAGTTAATTGACAGTTGTATACTCTGTAACTTGAATAAACACGATTTTTGTTTTAATCAGTCTCTGCTTTCCTTTCTCGTGTGGTAAAATAGTCTTAGAATTTTTTGACCCCCGAAAATTTTTATTATTTACACGGTATGTTTATACCAATTTCTTTGCGTTGGCTATTTAAATTGGTCTTGAAAAGACTGTGTTGTCTTTTCTTTTGGTCATTTAACAGTTCTTGATAAGATTTTTCATTGAATATGTATCTTAATTAGTAACCTTGCACAAAATATGTTCCTGTTTTTAGAAAATTGTGGGCTAGGCCTATAAATTAATTATTTGAGACTGGTACGGCAACTGTACTGGATAACATTTATGTATCGGAGAAATTGTACATAGATAAAAAAAATAGAAATTAAACATTATGATATATCAGAAATTATTGCATACACAATTAATTGTAAGACGACTTTTTAAAATGACTGTTAATGTAGTGGTGATGTTTCCATGACGAGAGCCTGGGAAGCCATGACTTCCCACTAATAAACAGCTGATCACAGTGGAACTGGAAATTGGATATTTCAAGCTCAAGATTTTGTTGTCGAAGCACATTTTGAAGAAAACTTCAGCTCCAACAGTCGCTGTTGGCTTTCTCTCCCCAGTAATTTGTTCATCATAACCATCTTGAACTTTGGTACCCTAGAATTGGCTTCAGTCACAGACAAAACGTTCTCGACGCACGTGTGGAACATCACGAGTTTACTTTGACACTTATCATTGAAGATCTCGAGATTTATTTAATACCGTATTGAGGTATGTCTTATCATACCGGTGTAATCCGCATAAAATGCCTATTCCTTGTGAACTTACGCTTTTAAACCGTGATTTTGAGCCCGTAGCACACTTGATTTGTCATGAGGTCAACATGTTGATAGTAACTTATCAGAATACAACTATTTTTAATAGTTACCACAGAAGATATGACCATAACAATGGCAACCGTAATTCTGACAGAAATGTTATCTTTGCTTTGCATTGTATTAAACTTCAAGCACTGTCGGAACTTACTAGAAGTTTACGTCATGAGACTATTCTTATTATTAAAGAAAGGGAAGAGGGTATTTGCCTGTATGTTTATTTCTGCTTATGGCCAGTATAGCGATGTTGTTAAAAGAATTATCTACAGTTTGGGGCGTACAGAAACAGACATCCGTACATTACCTTTGAAACCCTGACTATAACAACCTGTAGTAAAATTTTTCAAAAATTGCCTAATTACAAATTCTTTATCTCCGTTATAAAAAGGTTACAACCAAAACATTTGTATGTCGTATGTTAGAAATGAATTCAAATTGTCTTAAAAATATTAACCTAAAAGATTGAATTCGTGTCACTGTTGAAACTGCAATTAGCAAACTCAATTGAAATTGTAATAATAATAATACTTGATTAAAAGACTTCACTAAGGAAAATGGAAGGGGATATAACAACACGTTCAATTATCAACTTATTAAAAATCTGTTAGATCGGCTGCAAGATGTGGAAGGAGAAATGTGACTTAACACTTAATACAAACTATACGTTTGTTTTAGCAAGCATAGTTTTCCAAATGTGGTTGTCGTAGAATATTTAGCCGTAGTCGTTGCACTAGTAAGGAAAATCCCCATTCGCAGAGGTATTAAAATTTGATGCTTCAAAAATAATTGTTATATGTTTTACCCCATAAAAATAAAATACAAAATTTGTATACTTTTGCCTTAAATTTTACAGAAAAATAAAATATTTTCGGAGTTTTTACGACCTCAATTCAACCTTTCGTGATCCACAATGAAAAGAGGGTAACCCAATGACATATTATATATGTCATAATTTGTAAAATCGCGTCTCCCGACGAATGTTTTGAGAAATCATTCAGGAATAATAAATGTTGTTATTTACAGAAAACAATTAGAGTATCTAAACGAAGTATGATGGATGTGTCTTTAAGTTTTGATTTATTGCCCCCAATCATGCAAATATTTTCTCATTCATCTTTTATCAACCTCCATATATAGGAAGTTTTTAACTCAAGTGTACACGAAACTAAGCTGCAGAAAAACATTTCAAATCATATTTAAGATCATGTTTTATATGAAAATCTTTAATTACTCATGGTTTTCACGGATGACGCTAAAATGTCATATTTAAAATTACTTTACATGGATTTAGTTAGCCAAAAGAGTGTTTTCAATATCACTTCTGTATCCGCATTCGATGTACTGTATGGGCCAGAGTGTAAAACGTAATTGTGTTTCATTGAAGTATTTCACATTTAATTTAAAATTTTTTACTTCTTTTGGGTTATTTTATTTTATTCTATGCGTGATATTCAGACAGTGGTTTTTTTTCTATAAATGTACATATTTATTGTTTTCTTTTAGTCATAATGTTTTTCAGTCAAAAGTTAAAGACTGGAATCCCCGTACTACCCTAAGTTATCACTTTGAGCTTTTCTGCTTAAAATGACAATTTTTAGCAATATTCTCGTGCTTCTAAATGGGAATTTATTTATTTTTGACAATCAATGCATAGGTATTAGCATTTTTCAACCTAAATGGTAAGTTTTGCGACGTAAAGGCTAAACGGCTATGTCAGAAATCCAAGGTAGAGGCATAGCCGTCGCCAGTTTTGGATTGTTTGTCAGAGTAGATTTGTCTGTTTGGTTTAGCGCAAAGTTAAACAATAAGATATCAATGCTTTGTCTACCAAGGGGAATCTAAACACGGATTTTAGTGTTGTGAGTCAGTTGGCTTACTTGGGGAAGATCAGAGAAAGGGCAACCAGCCAGCAATATCTGCCACATAAATATATACCTTTTTCTTAATCAATATTGGCATTTATTGACACATCGCGAGATTGGAAATTGGACCTTCTAATCTGAAAGCTGACACAATAAGCCACATGTGATTAATAAACAATTATACTAATCTCAAGGTTAAACATAGTATAGAGGCTCTCTTTCTCCACAAAAATAGAAATTTGGGGATCTCATATGTGGAAGAATTGGAATTGAAGTAGCATTTTGTTAGAGGTAAAATGAAAAACATAAAATATGGTTTTGAAATCTTGTGTGAAAATAAAATGAAACACTTTTTAATGGTTTCATCACAGAGCTGCAGTTCATCTGGTACATAACGGTCCGACCTACAAATTCCCACTAAGAGGTTGTAGCATGGAGAAGTAGAGATGCATCTCCTGTGCATCCACTACCTGTTGAACATCAAGTAGTCATGACTGGTTCTTCCAGAGATAAAATAGTTCTAGAAGAAGAAAGGATCCAAGTACCGGGAAAACTTGTCATTATCATCCACCAGTAGGAGATTTCTAGTAACAACAGCAACTGGAGGCACAACAGTCAATGAGGAGGCCTCCATCCACCTCAATGAATGAAAAGTATCAAGGGAACTGCCCTTGACTGAGCACTCTATCACGAGAGAAGATGGAGATGTTCTCCAAATCCCAACCAAAATAGCAATTTAAGTACGTTTGAGCAGGGCACAAACAAAGAAAAGCACTGAACACTATATGTAGCTATATGAATCGAATCCAATTTCTATTTGGAAAAAATCTCTTTCAATATTTGTGTGTCAATCTGACAATCTATTTCAATTGATATCAGTCTATATCAAACAAAGAGAATATAATAATATATATATATATATATATATACAGTGATTCCTAGCTCCAGGCTCATGTGCTGTTCACGTGATTGGGGTCTCTCCCATTGTTTGTCAGTAAGAAGTATCATACCTTTGGGCTATCACATGGTTCGATAACAGAACAGATCACTGTTAATGCTTATAGCATTTTTATATGATACAGTTCTTCCATAATAGAGAAAACGTGATGTCCTTGTTGATTTAGCTAGTGCCATGCATAACTAAGGCGAGAGAAACAACACCTGAAACACACTAAAAATTTGAAAAGTTTATCTGAAAACAAAGGGGATAGAAAATGTTCGATATTCTTGCATATAAGACTTATATCTCCTTTATTTTCAGGCCAACCCGATCGTACCTAATTTTTTAAATCTCGGAGCCAGTCTAGATCTCAATCGTGCATCGGTCAACAAATCAAAATGTCTTCTTCTCCCCCCCCCTCTTCTTAAAAGCATTTGTCCTACAAAATAACTCCGGTTAAACAATTTTGTACAGTACAAAACATTACAGAAGAACAAATCAAACATAACGTCATATCTTTTGGCAATGAATAAAATATAAAACAAAGCTAAAATCTTTAACAACGAGCTACACTAAATAAAACTTTTCATGAACATATCAAGAACTCAAGCTCTTTAACAAAGATAATATTATCACACAAAATTAATTTTTTCTATCAGTGATACGTAAAATCCAAAACCCTTCACGTAACAACAAAGAATTACAAGTCCAAATCTTGAATAATAACTTTTCAAAATCAACACTGAAGACAGTAACATTATCCTTACAATAAAAGTAAATAAATAAAAAGGACCATTTTATATAATAATAAAAAATTAAAACATAAAGCAGAATTAAAATACCAGATAAAACTCTTTATGTGATACACACAGAAATGCAAAAGTTTGCAATTAAAATATTCATATACATACATACATACAAAACTATATAAAACATGTGAAATAAACTACTCAAAAATAAAAAGCACAAAAACGTTTCATGAAAATCACAGACAAGTTAGAACTTGAATCTGCTGCAATGTGAAATGTTTTGCTCTTTTGGTTGAGATGCGGAGGACATCTCTATCTTCCCTCGTGGCAAGGTCCATGACACTTTCCATTCATTGGAGTGGACGGAGGCCTACTCATTCACTATTGTTACTGAAAATCTACTGGTGGGTGATTATGGCAAACCTTCCCGGCGGTACTTGGATCCATTCTTCTTCTAGAACTATTTTATCTCTGGAAGAACCAGTCATGACGACTTGATGTTCAACAGATGGTGGAGGCACAGGAGATGCATTCCTAATTCTCAATGCTGCAACATCTCAGTGGGAATTTGTAGGTCAGCCCAGACCTCAAATGTCAGTTACA